TCTCTTACAACTCGTCCAAGCTTTGAAACATGAATCTTATTTATGCTGTGACCTAGTTGAATTTTTGCTTACGAGAGCATTACAAAATCAAAAAATTGGTCATTACCTATTTTGGCATTTGAGGTATTTAAATTAAGACTATTTTTGTTGATGGTGTGTCACTAGCATAATTGTTTTATTTATTAGATCAGAAATGCAAGTGGCATCTGTGTCTGTACGCTTTGGTTTGATGTTGGAAGCATATTGCCGTGGATCCATTGAACACATGAAAACATTAATTAGACAAATGGATTTTTTGGAAAAACTGAAAAAGACCACTGAGTTAGTTAGGCAGCGACGTGACAAAGAAAAAGCTCGGTCATTTTTACAAGAATATTTTCAAGAAGGACATTGCATTGAAGCTATGTCATCTGTGCATAGTCCTCTAGATCCCAGTTATAAGTGCAAAAGAGTTAGGTATGTCAATTTTTTACAATTAATGGTTATAATATTATAGTGTGTATTATTGTTTAATCCAATGTCATATAGAACTGAAAAGTGCCGCGTGATGGATAGCAAAATGAAACCTTTATGGATAGTTTTTGAAAATGATGATTCACATGGTGATGACATTTACGTAATATTTAAAAATGGGGACGATTTAAGGCAGGATATGCTTGCCTTACAGATGATACGTATTATGGACAAACTATGGAAAAATGAAGGGTTGGATTTGAGGTGAGATTAAGCTATATAAGAACAGGTTAAAATATCCAAAAGAAAAATATCTAAATTTTAAATTTTAGAAAAATCATTTGTTATTTTTTAATATAAAAATAATAATAACATTACTCTATAGCAGAGGTGGTGAACATATTTTAGGTCTAGTGCCAAATTTTTGCATTCAAGCGTTTGACAATTTTTCACGTACCCTAAAATTATAAACCCTAGATCAAACATATTAAATATACTAACATAATCTAGGCTGTCATATAGTATATGGTCTACTGGTGAATATATGAGTATTGTATGTGGTTTACTGGCAATTTTCGTATCTATAGTATTTGGTAGGCAAATAAACTAAAAATTAAATCATTATAATTTTAGTCTAATTGCTGTCAAGAATGATGAATATTGTGTTGTTTTATGTTCAAATTACAAAAACTTCCGTCATATCTCTCAAAAATGCGTTGAATAAATCTGATTTATTTATTCCTCGCCAACATGTTTCATATTGATTGTATAAATTGTGGTGTCGCGCAATAAGTAACATTCTGAACTATTATTGAGCTCATACTTTTGCAAATTGTCAAAGTATTCTGTGTATAAGGCCATAAAGAAAAGTGTTCACCAAAGAAAAAGACTAAACTGTATCTATTAAAGATAAACTTAGGGCTGTGTAAAAACCGGCCGGTTGCATGTAGACTGCATCCTACAGAGGCTGTAGAACGCGTTTGTGGGTAGACCGCATACTATATGACAGCCATAATCTATTTTACATAGAAATATTATAACTTTTAAAATGTTTATGATTTGTTTCATTGAACTTTTTACAAGCAACATTCTATGAATCTCATAATTTTTCAGTTTTAATTTTACGTGTGTCATTAAAATTTGACAAACGTGCTACTTTTGGCATTTGTGTTGTGGGTTTGCCACCCCAGCTCTATAGTTAATATTAATATGCACCAGACATTTTGAAATATAAATAATAACTTGGTGTCAAATAAATTGAACTCGGTGATCTTTGATTATATTATTAAGTAATAATCATAATATAATGTTATACTATATTAATATTATTGTTGATTGTTATTAACTTAAAAGGTAACACTAATCTAAAATTGTAAGTGGAAATAGTTTTTAGTTTGGATATTTTATTTGTTATACCTACCATACTACATTGATTTATGAATTTACTTATAATTTAATTTATCTCAGGATGAATCCATATCAGTGTATATCGACAGATAACCGTGTAGGTATGATTGAAGTGGTGTTGAATGCAGAAACCATAGCTAATATTCAAAAAGAAAAAGGAATGTTTTCAGCAACATCTGCTTTTAAAAAGGGATCATTATTAGGTAAGATTGTACAGTAAAATGTAATCATCAAAACTATAAATATTTTTTTTCAATGGAAAAATTATCAGCATGGTTAAAAGACTACAATCAAACGGAACAGTCATTACAAAAGGCAATTGAAGAATTTACTTTTTCGTGTGCTGGCTATTGTGTGGCAACCTATGTACTGGGTGTTGCTGATCGCCATTCCGACAATATTATGGTCAAAAAAACAGGCCAAGTATGTATATTTAAATATTAAAATTTAACAATTATTTCTTTATTTGTTTCATTTTATTTATTTCTAGTTATTTCACATTGATTTTGGTCACATTCTTGGTCATTTCAAAGAGAAATTTGGCTTCCGCCGTGAACGTGTACCATTTGTTTTGACCCACGACTTTGTGCATGTTATTAATAAAGGCCAAACTAGAAAAGAGGCTCTTGAATTCCAAATGTTTCAAAATTATTGTGAAAAGGTATTTTAGTACCAAACAAATAATTTTCAAACTATATAAATAAAGTTAAAGTGGCTATAAAATATATTATAATTGTTTTATTTCAGGCCTTTCTAATYCTAAGGCGACATGGCTCATTAATACTTTCTCTTTTCGCAATGATGATTTCAACTGGTCTACCTGAATTAGGTTCCGAAAAAGATCTAAACTATTTACGCGAGACCCTTGTAATGGACCTATCAGAAAATGATGCTAAACTGCATTTCCGGTCAAAGTTTGAAGAAGCATTAGGAAATTCGTGGAAGACATCACTTAATTGGGCATCTCATAATTTAGCAAAAAACAACAAACAATGACAAAAGTTTCTAATTGACTTGGAACTAGCCATACTGCCATAAATTCAGTTTGAGCTTATTAATACTGTGTTTTCCTATATAATAGTAGACAAATTGTATTTAAATTTTTAAACAAATGTTTAATTTGTAAATGGGAGAGAAAGACGTAATTGATATTATTATGGTTACCTCAGTACAATTTTTTTCTTAGTACATAAATGTATAAATTATTTTTAATACATTTAAAAACATGCAATATTAATAATTTATATATATTATTATCAATTATTATTATAGATACCAATATAGGTAAACATAATTTATTTAATTTGTGTAATATATTCAACATTGAATAAGATATTATCATAATGGAGTTTGATTAAAATAAATTACAATTGTCCACTGGACTATATCTCATGATAATATTTATATTAGTTATTAGTTATTATTTATATTAGTTACCTTCAGTTTATAACTTACAGGCTAGGCTGGTTTACAAATTTGTATGGATTTCAGATCTACTCAACGTATGAATAAAACTAAATAAAAGCATACATAATAACTACTAATACATCTTTATTAAAAAAATAAAAATAAAAATATTGTTATATTTTACAAAATTTAATAATATATTATTATTAAAATGATGAATTTAAACTTTTTAATTCTTTTTATAATACTTGTTCTGTGCATCATATGTCTATCCTCTTATCCTTTATGATTGATCAATTATAATAAAAATTTACTCTTTTATTAATATAAACCTTTGCCACCGTTAAGATATTGTTTTAACTAATGCAAAAATATTTCCTGCTATMATTTTTATCACAAATAGTAAATTCTTGGCTATAATGTATTATGAACATAATATTTGTTTAAAGGACTCATTAAAATGTTAAGCGTTCATTTTACTTAACTACTCCTCTTTTAATAATTAATATTTTTATTTATTGATCAAATCCCTCACATCAAATGTAATCTTTTTCAACCTGTCGTCCCCACAATTAATTTTATAGAATTAAAATCTTTGAATAATTATTTGAATATTTGATATATTATAGTGATATTATAAGGTACAAAATCGCAACGGAGATAATGATCGTACCTTTATTTACATTTAAACTTCAATCAATGTTTTTAATATCAGTTGAAAATGTTTGCAACTGGTTGAAATCTTGGAACATTTAGAACCAGTACTTATTAATTTGGAAGTCAATAGATATATTCATGGACTTCATAGTAAATAGGTACCTACTAAATTAATTTAATTTAAATCTAAATACAATATAGCTATGGTGAATTTAGAGTTGAATAACCAATATATTGTTAAAATTGTATTTAAATCATCATTTACCTGTTTCAAACATATTTATATTGTATTTTATTTGGTGTAATGTGTTCTTCACTTTTATTATAACATATTTTTATTTACAACTTGAGCAAGCTAAGACTTAAAATTTATAATGATTAGGATCGGTGTTCTGAGGTAACCAGTGGCGGGCAGCATACAAATAATTTTTATCCGTAACAATACTATATTTTTATTGGATTGATCGTCATTTGATTCCTTAACACCTGGTAACTTTTTCATTTGGATATTACTATTTTAGGCACTTTTCAGTCTATCCAGTGTCCATGATTCTAGTTGATGTAGTAATTGGTTCCCTTATTAGCAAGTAAAATTATTTGGTATTCCTAACTACCAAGTATCTGCGCAAACCAAGGTGTATCAATTCACTTTGAAGCAATAACATCAATATCATTTCGGAATTTTTTGATTTTCCTCAGGAAATTTGAAATCAATTTTATTTTGAGCAAATTTTGATAAAAGGAAATACGTCTTATTATTCGTGTGGTACTGTAACTCAAGCTCATGATATAATAATAAAATATTATGTTTCGCTGTAACTGTCAACTGACCACTGAGGCTGAGAGGCTGAGACACTGACGAGTTTAAGCCATAGACATATTAATATGTCAATGATTTAACTTAGAGAGCCTAGATTATTATCTTTATTATTTAAAACCGTTTAAGCTTAGATCAAATTACTAAAAATAAATATTTTTATAGCGATTATCGTTTGCTGCAGTGCTGCACTGTATTCTTATCTATCTCGATGTTTTTTACCTATCTACTTCGTCTGATAACTGTTATCGAAAATTTGAACAATATTTATTAGTTTAAATTTTGTAATTAGTGTAAAACTAAAAATTTATCTTTTAATCAGTCTTTGCTATCTTACTAGTCATACTGCTCCCGTTTTTGTCGTTTAGGATTTAAAACTGACAAATAACGACGACTACGTAATATATGCTTACGTACAATCAACATGGGTGATATCCAATGGCCGTGGCAATACAGTTTTCCACCGTTCTTCACGTAAGTATTTCAATAATATTGTATAAATACGACATCATCATTCGTATAACTTGAGATGCATTTGCAATTACTGTTGGTCGATTATGGTTAACAGGATCCAGCCAAACGCGGAAACGAGACAGAAGCAATTAGACGCTTGGAGGACGTTGTTATTGGATTACTGTCGTACGCAGAAGGTGTGCGTTATTGATGTGCGCGAAGGAGATCTATTGCCTGTTTTCAACAACACTACCATATCCAGTAGGTGTAGTACAAATCGTCTATAAAATCCCAAGAACAGAGCTGTTAGGGCTATAACAAGGGCCTTAAATTCTAGATCCAATATGGCTAATAAGCAACAGTGATTGATTTCATCTATTTTTTTTTTTTTACTCTGAATATTTATAGGTTATACAGTGGAACCTTGATAACTCTAACTTTTTTTTCGCCCCCAACCAATTTGAGTTAACGAGGTTCCACTGTATTAGGAATCAGTTAAACACTTGTATTGTTGTATCCCGTTCTTCTGACAAGCATTACAAATAATTGCAATCACATTGCTATTTAAAACAAAAGGAAAATCAAATTTAAATGTTTCTAATTACTATAATTTTAAATTTGGATGATAAAATATAATAACCAATATTACCTACATTTGAACTTCCATTGTTTTTAAGTTATAAATCATATCACTGAACTTTTCACAAATAATTCCATTACCTATTAATACATTTCATACGTACAAGTTGGTTGGCATGATTTTGGATAATTTGTTCTCATGATGTTTAAACATTCAGAGTTAAAATGTTTTTATTTTGATTAAAAATTACAAAATGTCAAATTAGTTTACCAGTGTCAGTTAGATAGTGATATGGATCTATTCATTCTATTCCATTTGTAGATTGTAAGTGATTCAAAAGGCACAATAGCTTATAACTCAATTATATTACTTTAGTGATATAGTATTATCTAGTAGAAATGCAATTATAGTTGAAGACTATAAAATTATTATTTAGCAACTTTTGTAGTTTTGTAATAATGTAGAAAAGAAGTACCAAAATACCTACATTATATTCTGTGTTTATATGGGCTACCCATTTTATAATAATATACAGAATACAGATAATATAAATATAATGTTTTAAGTATAATGAGTATTAATATCCACAAATTCATACAATTATATACTCTTTTGGCGACACTTCTGATGTGGGTAAAAATAACATTTAGCTTAAGAACTTATTTATCTTGTATCTAGTTTTTTTTTTAATCTAAATACACTAATGTATCATGATACTTTTTTTTAAGTATCACTCAATTGTGGTAAGTGGCACTATCCAATGTGCATGGGGACAACTAGTTAACTATACATCTATATAATATTATCTTAGTTCTATAAAACTACTCATGTATATTTAAATATGTATTACCATATTATGTAAATGGGTACTTATTATGTTTTCAAAATAATTATGATTTCAATGTAATATGCATATAACAGCAATGATAGTAGCTTATAGGTTGGTAGTTATTACCTATTTAAAATCAAATAAAACATTTATTTTTTCTTTGAAATTAGTTACATTAAGGTCGCTTATAATAATAAGTAATAACAATGTCCTTTTTCAATGAAATGCGGAAATAGTTGGAATTGGAATGTTGTATCGTTTCAAACAAGTTCTGAGCGTCGTAAATTGGCCGCTGGTTATCGTTTGCGCATCCCTATTGTTAATTTTAACCTTTTTTGTAAGACATTTGCGCATCGTTCGGCTTTTGGGTTATATATCGTTTGCGCATTGACCGTTTAAAAGGTCCTACATCATTTTGCACATCTAAATTATTCAACAATAAAAAAAAATGTGTACCCCAAGTGCAAATTGTTTTCTAACTTTGGTCTTAAACTTTGCTCGTCTCTAAATTTACTCACGTAATGTTACATTTTCGAATATTGCATTTGTATAAGGTGATATACAATATACTAAGTAAAAATATAATTTTGTAACTTAAATTTTTGATGAATTTCGTCAAAATTTGAACAAAAAAATGTTTAGGTATACAAATTATTTTTTAATTTTAAAAATCTTAAATTATTTAACATCTATATAATATTATACATCATGTACATATTTTGATGTACGATAATTTGGTACAGGTAAGCAGACGATGCGCACATGATATACGGCCAAATTGGTGATGATCAACTAATGTAAATATATCTGGATATGAATTAATCTGTTCATTATTATAATATAATAATATAATAATATAATCACATATATGTAATATGTAATAGGTACCATGATCTAAGTTCATATAGCGGCTCTCGTTTCTTGTTTTCACCTAATGATCAATGTACCTAATTATTGTAGTAATTGTCATGTTTTATTTTTAGTTTCGCTAAAAGATTATCATTGCGTTGGCATACCTATTTATTACAGTATACAAATTATATTCTTTATTTCTTTTATTTGGAGTTCTGGCTATAAATTTGTTTTCCATGTTAWACTTATCTATATGAAAAATAGATAATAACCATTTGAAGTGTATAAAACTAAATTATCTAGCGGTTAGTATTTTGATTATCTCATATCTTATGTTATTAATTTTTGTTAATCATCCGTAGTCATTTCCAAATTTTTTGGTTTTGGCATAATGTTATAAATATATTTATAGGTAGATACGTTTAAAAACCACCACGTTTACCTGCATAGCGCGTATAGGTTTCGTCTCTTAGGATTTTGGAATTTGTTCAACTTTTCGCCGACTATAATATTTTCAACAGTAGATAATATATTAAACTAAAATTTAACCTGTCATTTTATGTTACTCAAAAAATATTGTCCATCTCCGTTTATCTGATACTGACGCATAAAAATAGAAGGAATAAAGAAAATCGATTTTAAGTGAAATTCAGTTTGTATAGTTTTATTATTATTTCCAATGAAAAAAAAATTCTCTTTACACATCAATTAAAAAACATATAACAATATTATGATGTTTTATTGAACTAATGTTTGATTGTTTAGCCTATATTTCTATAGCCTGCTTTTTTGTGAAGTACACACACACACACAAACATTTATGTAGGTATATACAGGGCCGGTTATAGGCGTAGGCAACGTAGGCATAAGCCTACGGCGGCAAAATTAATATTTATATTTTATATAGAGGCGGCATATAAGAAAAGTTATAATAAAACAAGAGGCTGCAATTTTGATCTTTGCCTACATTTAAAAATTTGCTTGCACCGGCCCTGGGTATATATCGAAACTCTTATACCTGTTTGAAATCATTGGCTGCACTCAGCATTTAAGTAATTACCTTTGTTGACTCAATTTTGAATGTTGCAATACAAACCATTTATTTACCTAGTTAATGTTGCATCAAACCATTAACTATATGATGAATTAGGTATAAATGAACCATTTTATTTTGTTTAAATCGAATTTAGAAATAAATATAGTTAAATTAAATTAAATCTTCGGACATATATATACTATACCTGCCTACATATATGCTACTTACCTGAGTTAACGCAGCTTATGCATGATATATTATTTGACATACCTGCTTAGGGCGACGAAAAAGTTGAAATTATCAATGAGAAATATTTTTGAATTGCTACTAATTATTAATAATTTTATAATATTTTTATCCTCCCGTTCGAATGAGTCGTATTACTAACAAACCCCGGYCGTGTGGCGTGTAGGTACCTCGTTAAAATGTGAAAAAAAGTAATATTATACTTTAGAAACGTCCATAAAATGCTTTAAGACAAATTGCTGGCCTTTTATTTTATCTTCATCAGTTTATAACAAATTTATCTTTTTGAAAAATGTTTTCTTTTTTGTCTAAGTAGGTACCCGCGCTATAAAGCTTACACTAATCGCAGAAATAGTTGATATGGTGGTGACGTTGTGTGCTCGCCGCATGGATTATGTGTATTTTTTCCTTCACAATATTTATTTTAAAAATTATAATAGCTTGATAATTTATGTATATTATTAAAATGTATTTTTTTCCTTCAGGAAAACTGTCACCCGAAGCGATCATGACGGTTTTAGGCGTTCTACAGAAGACGGGAAACGCCGAACCACTTGATAAGACTAAAACAAGGTACAAATTTTAATTTTACACAGCACGGCGATACGCTGTTACGCACTTGTACCTCTAAAAACGAGTTAGAATGAAATTCTGTTTTGTTTTTTCATCGAAAACTATAATTGGTTTATCGCGAACAACTTAGCATCGATTCCGGGCTCGTATTCTATATAGTTTTCGATTAATTCGTTGGTTTACTTTATTCATATGATTGGTATGCATAGGTATACGCGCAAATAAAAAAAAGGGCATTTCCATGACAGAATGACTCTACGGTATTTAGGAACCACCTACCTTTCACGGCGCATGTCGTGAGAGTTTGACGGAAATACAATCCGAAACGATCTTTTTGAGAATTTGACTATATTCGAACGTCGCACAGCAGACATTTTTTAACGGTATCTCGACACAGGTCGCCGTACGAAATACTATTGACATTCCGAATCGTTGTGATACGATAACTGCACACGAATTAGAATTTCGCGTGCACAGCAACGCCTGCTGTTTACATTTTTACGAGTCAAAAGTCAATGGTGTCCGTTTGTCCATATCCGCATATAATAATAGTAGATACCTACTGTAAATAATAAATTCACAATTTACATATATATCATCATAAATTACAATCAGTGTTGGTGCTTTGTGGAGTGCGGAAACGTGAATACGTTGTTTGTTCAAAAAAAAAAATAACATAAAATAAAAAACAATGTCATTTTTAGATGGAATGTTTATTGGCACACGTTGGACGAATGGGCATCGATAGTGTACAAATGGGCTCAGGACAACGCCATGCTGAACACGGTGTGCACGTTCTACGAGATAGCCAACGACGGTGGTGGTAATATATATAATCATAATAATGTTATAATCAAACAATAAATTTGTTCTAGCATTTTAGGAAAGCGTGGAGGCAGTGGCGCCGAACTCATCATATATCATCATGTGAAGCGACGATCGCTTCACTTCTTAAATGGGTGGGTAGGTTCTAGTTGAATTTATTTCTAAGGAGTACCGGTTGATGGGTTAACAAAGTTAAATCAGGTGTTCTGTATTATACATAGTTAAATATATTTTTATATCATAATATATATAGCTGAACAATGTTGGTGGTTGGGTGGCTAAACAATTCTAGATTTCGGCGCCACTGTTTCGGAGAGGTGGTAAACACCATAACCCTCTCACTATAGAACATTTTTGGCCATGTCACTGTGATTGGTATATCAATACAGCACGTAATTTTATAGTATATATCAATGACTATTGTATTATGATATATATTATATTATAACTCCAAGTCTAAAACTGTTTTGTACGTATTTGTACCTGCAGCTACAATCTAATCGTACAAAAATCAAGCAAACGTATAATATTTACCCGCGAGGTTAAGTTTGGTTAGGTTATTTTTCATTTTACTAATTTAAAACTAACTATACGATATAACTCAACAGTATTATAATATATAAAATGACAAGAAATTTGTACGGCCCATTATAGTTAAAAGATAACTTTGTAAACCATTATTATTATACCATCATTTACCTAATTTAATTTATAATAACAAATTTGTGTAGTATACTATGATCTATGGAATAGGATGGTCAAAGGTGTGTGTGATGAGGGACATAGCTCCACTCCCCACTAGCACTAGGACGATAGTAAAAACTCATATCCCACCCGGCCGCAACAAATTCCAAATGACGTCACTGTTGAATGAGATTGTTCGTTGTATTAGCTTTTTGTTTTTTTTCCGACTACAGATCTGAACGGTATTGACGAAGGCGTGCTGACCAAAGCGTTAAGGGTGTTGGAGCGACGTCAACAGGCGGAAATACTTACGCTGGACGGGGGATCGGGCGTGAAGTTTTTCTCGTAGACCAACGTGTAAGTCCGACACCAGCTGCCCACTCGCAGTAACAGCTGGCTCTATATCATACCTATGAGCAATGTATGCCGTGCGTATCTGCGTGTAACGTGTGGGCGACGATGATATAAGTATATATATATATATGTACACCTAAATACCTATCCTAAGTATCTATATATACATATATATAAGAAGTTTGCGGTAAAACATATATTTCGACGTATATTATGTATAGATTATTATATAATATATATGCGTACGGTAATAATAAAATGTGTAATATAAAATTACTATAATATATAGTGTATAATTATCGATCATGTTTATTTAGTTTTTTTTTGTTTATCCATCGATTAATAAAAAAAAAAATTAACAAACCATTTTTCACTATGTTTTTGAGTTTACAAAATGGGACTAATAAATGTATATAATATATATTAAGTAATAATCGTATAATAATTAATTAAATATATTAAAAAACAAAAAAAATCACAGTTAAATAATAAAAACTATATTTATCTAACGAAATGTTACACATACATAATTTATATGTTTATCATATTTTTTTACAAACTCGATGACGAATAAATGGTAAATTGGTTTTCACAACATTGATTTGTAAACCGAGACGCGAGTAATATGTGTTTGTCTACACATCCGTTAGAAGAATGTGCGTTTTTATTTTAGCGAAAAACAATGTACAATTTTCAAATAAAACAAATCCAATACGCTTATCACTATCTGCTAAGCTTATAACTGGTTCCTTTATATGTACATATTATAATAAATTATTTTTTTATATAATATCCAATTAAAAACAGGWTTTGTTAGATATATAATAAGACGTTAAGCTTACAAAATATCTTCAATGTAATATATAACGGAACTATTATAGTATACATAATTAAATATAATTAGCCGCTAAATTGACTACTCAACAGTAATGGATCATCTAAAATAAATATATATATTTACATATATTGTAAATTTCTTATAATTACAATAATTATATTTTATTACTTTTCCGAACAAACCAGAAGGGACAATAATAATTTATCGATTAAAATAATTGAACAACGAGCGAACTGATGCAGATCAAAGGATTCCTACTTTTGAGCAACAAACAATAATAAATTTAAAACAACTCAATTCATAATTTTTGGCACGAACACCTCAGTCGTTAAAGGCAAACCGCATAGCTTGAATAAAACATTATTATTTTCTTTTTTACACAAACATTAATAATATAACTTAAAAAAAATAAAAATATACAATAGGAACTGTTTCGTTTAAATATTGGCGCGAGTAATAATTATATTAATTATTATTACATGTATACGAAAAACGCTGGGAAGACTCTGAACTAAGTTATACATCATAAAATTAATAATAATAAAAGAAAAGAAAAAGAAAGAAAAAACACGGAGAAGATATTATAAGTTGTTCGGTAAGTTGAACACTATTTGAGCGCATTTGCACATGAAATTGGTAACTCGCCAGACATTTCGTCGCGGGCTGCGCACAAATATTGCGCTCCGTCGTCATGAACAACGCGATTTGCGATTTGTTTATTTTTATTTTTTCATTGACTAGTGTTGTGTGCAGAGAAACTATAAACGGTCTATACTTTAGACGTACTCGTTGGTGCCAGGACGAGTCAACGGCTCTTCAGCCTGAAAAAAWAAATAAATACAAACCAAATAAACAACGCGTAGGTAGGTAAATGGAAAACAACATCATCACTTGTGTCGCGTATATGTGCGCTTATTATGTAAATATGAAAACTCCACACGTGAGATGACACTATTACTATTACTATACTATTATACTACTATATTATACCGTAATAATATGAATGAATACGTCGTGTACATATTTTTTTTATAGCATCACATTTTAATATTATTGTTTGATGATGGACTTACCGAGTTGTCGTTAAAGAACTAATGCGCAGCGTGTAAAAATGCAAAAAAATTAAGAGCAGAAAATATCGAATGTAGCTTGACACAGTGTTGCATCGACGATAATACATAATAATATTATATAGGTACTTGGCTGATGGAATTTTCTGTTGGTGCAGTTKTGTGTATGGGACGGGTGGAGGGGTTGGTGGGTGACGGGGATGTCTTTTCGCGGGGTCTTTAAATGATTACGTTGAAGTTTACCTCTTCGCCGACGGACGTGGGATATACCCTCGCTGGCTGGTACTGACTCTTCTCCAGCGTGAACTGGTCTTCGGTAGTTTTCCTGTAAATCGGGTTGTCGAAATTCATGCTGGTCACGTTGCGGTGCAAGTAGTGTCGGTACAACAGGAAAGCGCCCTGGAACATATGATTCGTCACAAACCGATCACACATTAGAACATATTAAACGTATTGGCGCTATACGTCGAGTGATGACGTGCGGCGCGTAGTATACCGCGGTATCCGTATAAATTTTTAGCCGAAGTATACCGCGATATATCACTCGACTGTCCAAGTAGGGGGTGTCGTCGGGCGGGATGTGTGGGCTCACTCACCAAGGCTGCGAGAGTGATCAATAGCGAACCGGAGAATATTATTATGGCAGCTATGAGTCCGCTGTCTTCGGGTTCGTTGTGGTCTTTGACATTAATTTCCGTCATCGTTCTGTTCGTATCTGAAATGAGAGGGAACGGACGTTAGGACGTATTATCACCGGACGTGCGTTGGTTCGCAAACAACATGATGACATTAAAATATTATATGTATAGTGTAAACAGGTATAAATATAATATGTAAAATGAAGTAGGCCGATATAATATTAATAMMTTATATACGACCTTCACCGCCACCAAAAGAAAACGCATAAATAATAATAGAAATATTAGATAATATTATTTAATACTACAGTGCACTGAAGAAGCCGCGAGTAGGTACAATATGGACACATAGGTATAGGAACATGTAAATAGTAAGTAAATAAATATAAATTACTGGTATGATGTATCATAGGCAGTGGCAGTCGTCATATATAACAAAAGGCGGATATTGCATATAAAATTGATTGCATATGTAAATTATAGTTTAACAAATGATGTGCATAAAATTGATAGCATTGGTATTTTAATACAACAATACGATCTATAAAGGACGGTAGGTACCCATAACAATAATATACATATTTATTATTTATTACATTAAGTTATACGCGTGTATGGTGTAGGTGTATTATAGTACACGACGAGCAAATTGACAGACGTGAAATCTCTGGTCGGTAGGTACGCGTCATAATATAAAGCAGCGGTCCTCAATGTGTGGCATTTTAACAAATTTAATGTGGCCCGCTCTAAAATTAAACTACTCATTCTAACATCCAAAGTTCAAGGAAAACAGAACTTTTCCTATAATACCCCTTCACAACAAAATATTCTGTTTTGTTTTATTATTATTATTATTTTTTACTATGCTTCACTAAATTTGTATATTTTTAATTATTATCATTAAAAACGTATAAGCATGAAGTATACTATTATTGAATAGATTTTTTTCAATTAAGCCAACCAAGCACTCATATATATATGCCTTCATCTATATATTGTGCTTCTTATAAAAATATTTTATTCAGATTGTATAAATTAAAATAAATATGACAAAAAAAAAAAAAAAAAAATAAAGCGGCTCACAAGTGATTTTTAAAAATCATATTTGTCCCTTTMTAAAATCCTAGTGAGGACCGATGATATAGAGTATAGACTCTATATTATAGAGGATTTTCGATGACAGGATGCGCGCGTTTTAGACTAGGTGAACAAAAAATGAACAAAATGCCTTCGATAACACGCAGGCCCAGCGTCTCAACGTATAATACACAAAATACTTATATTATAAATACCACAAATACCATAATAATATTATACATACAAGTATACAACTGACTACGATGAAAAGCTGCCCATTATATAATATAAAGGATGGGACTCGTTAGTATAGTCGTTGCGTATCGTACAAAAGCACTGTCGTTGTACTTACCTTTTTAATTTTTGTTTTTTTCGGCCGCAAACAACGGAATCAATATACCAATGCAAAACAAAATTATATACTTAATATATTTAACGCAGAATTTAATATAACAACTATAATACTATCGTCGAAGTAATATAATGTTGTTATTATTACGCGCGTATCACTGAAAAATCAAACGAAAAATATTATATAATATATTGTCGTTTTTGTTATGCTCACACCTTGGCTCGGACGGAAAGAATACGCCAACTGTTGGCAAGGCTCGCGTATATATAATGCGTATAACACTACACGATAAWACAAATATAATAATATCGTATTATATTATACTGCACATGAGCGGCGCCGCATCAGCATCGTCAAGGACTGTTGCCCGACCGTTCGATTTTTATTATTTTACTTCCCGATGCGGATTCCAAGGGCGAATAATAATAATAATAATAATATTATACTAATATAACCTATGTATGATTCTCTATCTCTCTCTGCTGCGAAGATCTTTTCGAATAGGTAACGTTTGTGCCTATACCTACATATTCCGAATAAATTATAYCGTCGCGGATGTTACGCGTACAGATATACGTATACGGTATTATACTATTATTTTATTACAATATAATATATTATATGGCCGTGGTTACACACAATATTATATTATGTTATACGCGTATAACTATTAGTAAGTATTTAATTTTAAATACTAATCTAATATATTTAAACAAGCTATAACTTTAAGCTATAATACCTACAGGCGATAGCCGTGGTTATTAGGATTTCGTTAAACCAATTATTTTACTAATCTAATTGTACTGTCAAATGTGAATCAAAAATATGAAATGATTTTGTAATTTTTTATTTTATTTAAAATGTATATTTCATTAATATATTATGTCATGTAAAATTTTAATTTAACCTATAARGATTATTCATCTTTTATTTTATTTATCTAATCGAACTGACAAATTGAAATTTGAATAGTATTTACACCGTTTTTATCAGACTTAAGCTGACATTTTATCAAAGACCACCCCCCCCCCCRCATAAATCTATTCTGGACCCGCGCTTGCGACTATTACTTATTAGCTCTACTTATAATAATATAATATAATAAATATATTATTTGATATAACTATCGTGTACAATATATATAGCGAGCGATTTAAAAAATTACAATCATTAACAATAATCTGATTATTATGTGATATTATATAATATGCCTAGACAGCATCTCTCGGATCGTTTTGGGAGCGACGTAGAGAAATGACATCGCGTTTGAAGCGACGCCGTTCGGTTTCTATTTCGGTACAATGCGTGCGACGTGTATTATAAGTATAACTTATACAAATAGGCACGTGCGTGCTCATGCATTTTCAAAAGTGCGTACTATGGTCACTTGTGATGTATATATACTGTGCAGTATATATGTCATTATTATTTTTAAAAGCGTATGTTATTTATACGCAGGTATATAATATTTTATACACAGGACGGAACGCTAAACGACGCCAGATTCGATACATATGTATAATATAGTTRATACTAATAATATAAAATACGAAAAAATATCTTTTTTGAATCCAAACAAATATTATAATTATTATTGTGTGAACTTAAAAATTATAACATGTATGCGCGCGGTAAATAAAACTAAATACGACGTATTAAAATAGCGTGTGCATGTTAATTTCGTCCTTGGTGCAGCCTGCTGGTTTAATGACATAGGTAGGTTACTACCACTATTATTACGCGGAGCTTGTTAAAAAATAATTATTAATTATACTAAAATATGTGCGCAAACCGAGATGATATTTCATGGACTACATGATCATTTATAATTACATTCTGAATAGGTATAGTGAATTGTCATATTATATAGTGCGTACTGATGGCAAAATGTTTTTCTTAGTAGGGACTTCAAAAAACGATTTACCGATACTGTATTGATTATGTATTTCCCATTTATTATTTTATTTATTATCTCAACCATGTGATTTTCAATTCTAAACGGTTTTCGTTTTTTAACGGTCGTCGAACAAATGAAACATATAATATGGCATACGATGCAATCCAATCCATCAAAGTTCGATTTACATATAGCCATACATTGCAGGAAAGTTCTTTATGCGCGATGACTATGAATGAAATCCTTTATGGCTGATGTTTTCTTTTAAACTAAATTTGAATAAATGCGTTTATATCTTTATAATTTTGTATAATATTGGGTTTTTGACTTAAATAAAATAATTTTGAATCGTGGCAAGTCATACTGTAATATCTACGAGATTTCTTGTTATAAAAGCCAAGTTCGGTCACAAAGAGAAAAAAATCGATGCTATAATAACATGTAAATTACTGAACAACTAATCATCCAGACGGAATTCACTTATTCGACATCCTATAAATTATAATATATTACTGCACAATAAGCGTATACTTTTAAAATATTTTAAAGTTATTTTTTTAAAGATCAAAGTTTTAAGTGAATTATATAAAATTTAAATGCAAAAAGAATATAGTTTCCTTTTATTTTAAGAGAAAAATAAAACGACCCTCTAGGTGATGAAAATAAATAAATGAGGTTTAACGGCGAGAGAGATCACGAGATCTTAACACACATTTATTACTTTCTTGCGACTTCGCGCGAAGTTTTCTGATTTTTCAGGAGGGTGTGGGCTGACAGAGAGTTAAAAATATAGATGTATATCTTAGGAAACTCATAAAACCAAACTCACAGCAATATTGCCGCATATTGATCAGTATAATAATATATATAGAAGGTACTATGGTGTAGTCTGTAGTTATTATTGTCACGTATTTGGTTAAGAGAAAATATAAAGTTTTTTTTTCGAAATTGCATTGATGTGGCAAATTTTTAGCAGCAGCGATAAAGCATACACAAACTACTTTCAGCCGTTTAATTTTCTATTTAAAATGTATGAAAAAACTCAAACCCACCGACACGACGTTATATAATATGATGTATACGATTTTTTTTTCGATCTGCGGTCTTCCTGAATACCATCAGTTTCGTTTTAACTTAATATTAAACACGTTATAGGTAATAAGAATGTAATATTTTTAAATGGTAAACGAGAAAAATCATGTGTTACGCGTATATTATAATGTATAGAGACAGGCGAATAGAATAACACAAAAATGTACTAGGTATAACCAACCACCGCAAGCGTGTGTATATTATAACAAATAATATGTATATTGAATACAATGTACAGGGATGAGCAATTATTGAAGTATTTGGATTTTTTTTTTTAAATTTGTGTTGAACAAATTTTCATTTTTTTCTTACAATCTGTAGGTATCTATATTATTAATTTATTATTTTAGTCTACCACGGAGGAATACAAATAAATATAATGTTATTCAAACTAAAACTTTTTTTAGAAGCTGTGATGGAGAACTTTAAAATTTGTTTTTTTAACTATGTGATATGTTTTTTTTTTGAAACTGTAACAGAAGATTGTTTTATATTGGTATACAGGTATAAATCTGATAAAAACCTAATATAATTTTTATGAGAGAATGAAATATAAGTAGGTAAATCTTTTTTGGAAATACTTATTTAGTATTTTATACACATGGACTACCTGCTATGTATTTATTTTTTGGTTTTAAATATAAATAGTAAAATATTTTGCTCATTCCTGTAGTGTATAAAGGTATGCATATTATATTGTGATAATATTAGTTTTGCACAGAAGAAAGAAGAAGATATACATAAATATGTACACAGGTTTCGTCCACGGATATTGATATATGTACTCACTTAACAGCGTAATATTGAATTTTTTATAAAGTCTCGGTTTGTGATGTTTCGGTAAAACCGTTGAGTTCTTAGCTGCTGTAAAATTATTCAACCAAAAAACAAGACGGTGAAAAACAAAGACAAAAAATAAAAAACGATCAAAATATACAAAACGTAATAATAACTAATAATATAGGTATTAGATAATTATCATCACAACAAGGTCTACTCGAAAAAAAAATCAATCAAATATTAGGTATTATGATTAGGTAGTATTGCAAAGATATAAATAATAAAAAATACAAAGTTAAGCTGAAATAAAAACATTACCGTTACCGCGCTATTGGCGGTCGCAGAACTGCGTGTGTATATATATTATATATATATACATATATACGGTGCAACGAATAATATACTTATATATGTTGCGTTGCGAGAAGTACAAATTATACAATTATAATAATTTTTATATTAAAWAAAAATATTATGTAATTACGGAAGTTGGGGTGCTTACCTTCTTCAGCGCACATCAGACCGTCAGACATGAGCATCAGACCATTGGGACAAGCGCACGAGATTTTCGGTGATTTGCTGTTGATTTGCGGTGCCGGCAGGCACAGATGAGAACAGTGGCCATTGACGGCAGCGCAGTAGTTCACGCCGTCGGGTTGCCTGTACGGGTGGTAAACGTGCACCACCATTGGGTTTTGAGTCTGAAACGGTCATAATGTACAAAATTGTCAGCTGTTAGTTTGATACAAACACATATCGCTATCGGTCTTACATAAGGTCACCGCGGCGGTCGTATAATAATACGCGCGTGAGATTTGCTGGAAAGTACCTATATCTACTTCCGAGACTTGATTGGTGGTACAGAATAATAAGAACCGATGCAAAAGTGGAGGCGTCGTGTAGTAAGAGAGAAAMTCGGGTTCGATGCCGTCATCAAAWATATAATAACGAAACGATAAAATATTAAATAATAATATTATGTACCATGTGCAGGGCGGTGACCGTGGTGATGTTTGAACCGTTAAACTTGTTGGCCTTGATAATCGCCTTCTGGTTCCAATCGGACCAGTATAGCGAATCCTCAAATGTGGATATGCTGAACGGGTGCGGTAGCCAGATGGGRCTGAACAGGACCAGGCGCCGTTGGCTTCCGTCGAAGTTGCACGACGATATTGTGTGGAGCTTGGCGTCCACCCAGTATAGCCGCTTGGACACCAAGTCCAGGGTGATGCCATTCGGCCATTTCACGTCGAACGAGGCGATCACTTCCCGGTGCGTGCCGTCCATGCCGGCCCGTTCGATCTTCGCGTTGCTGCCCCAGTCACTCCAATACAGCCACCTGCCAACGGACGAGCGTTTGTTGTGCGTTAGTAATAATATCGTGTCAGTGATTATAAGAGTTATTCGATATTATATAACGGAAAAACGGGTGGGCTTAGGGTTCGATTTTTTTTTTTGTAGATGACGTTATAAATTACCCGTTGAGCGGGTCCACGGCTATCGACCTGGGTTCCTTCAGTTCCGACTTGAAAAGCGTCTTCTGCATGTTACCTTCGAAGTTGGCTAATTCGATAGAGTCCTTGTCCGCGTTCGTCCAGTAAATGTGTCCATAAATCCAGTCCACAGCCAAACCGTCGGCCGACGACAAGCCGCTTTCCACTACGATTGTCCGCTGTCGGCCTTCATCAATCGGCGCTCTGCAGGTAAAAACAATAAATTAACACCTATATTATACGCAATCATTTTTGCAGTGATACCCAATCGAGGTCAATCAGAACTCCAAAAAATGGTTGACCGTTTAATTTATACGCCGGTGCAGTACATTATTGACACATTTCGAAACGGTTTGTGTTGAATAGGCGTAAAATGTCGAGAAAATAAGTGCCTATATAATATTATACCTACTAGGTACTTACTTGTAAATTTTCTTTTCGGATACGTCTCCCCAGTATATCATTCCGGTGCGGAATACGAAATCGATGGCCGTGGCCGATTTCGTGCTGTTGATAATAGCGGACATCTCGTGATGATCCAACGATATCTTCCGTATGTTGTGTTGCATTGAGAACAAGAGGGACGCATGTCCTTCCATCGCCTTGCATCTGGTGTGATCTTGGGGGTCTCGTAGGTATCCCGGTTCGCATTCACACTTGTACGTGCCTTTTTCGTTGATACATATCTGTGAACAGCTGCCTTCGATCTCGCATTCGTTTACGTCTGCAAATTTTAATATTGCACGATTAATAAAAAAACGCTGATACAGCGTAATCACGGATTTTTTGCAACGCTTCATCGTAAAAAATCGACGTTCAGCCGCTCCGAATATCACAACGTAAATTTATAGGTGGCCACCGGTGAATTAACTCTATACCCACGCCTAGGGGGAAATAAATAAGTAGTGATAAGCAAGTACCTACTGTGGAAAATATCGGATGAGTTTATATATGTAGTTAAATTATATCCCATTCCACTACTCGAGGTATAAACAAGCCGATGCAATTATACCCGAAGGTTGAAATTATACACGTTACATCGTAGAACACGACGACAAAAACTATGATATTGATAATAATAATTAATGTTGATAAAAAAAAATAAATACAATACAGACCGTCACACGTGTTGTTGTTGATGAGCTTGTAGCCGGGCTTGCAGGCGCAGCGGAACGTGTGGGGCAAATCGATGCAGATCTGCGTGCAGCCTCCGTTGTTGATCAGACACTCGTTCACGTTGCACGATTCCTGTTTCTCGTCTTCGAATCCGGGACAGTCCATGTTCTTGTCACACACCTTCTCCATGGGTATGCATACGCTACCCGTCTCGTCGTTGCCGCAGTCAAACTCTGTGTAAGGATCGCACTTGTGCACTGGTTCTTCTGAAAACGACGATGGCCGATTAAATAGTGATGTGTTTGTAAAGTTTTACGATCAATGGCCTGCCTGCCTGCAGATCTATGAATGGTCGTAAGCAGCGTATACGACGTGATAAACCATCGATTTAACCTAGCTGTCCTTCAATTTTCACGTGACGAATAATTTATTGTTATAGATCGGCCGATTCCAATTCTGTTTAGGTTTTATTTTTACAATATATATATATATACGAAGTAGGTTATCATTTTTGAAACGACCAAAACGTTTCWTCTAGACTCTAGAGCATATCCGCTAGATCCTAAGATCTTTATACAATAATAAGTATAACATTTTAATGTGCATCATTAAGTAGTAGTTTTTATGTTCACTTCATTCGTCTCGAATAGAAGATAAAAAATAAAATATGAATGTATAACTATAGCCACTATAGGTACTTATCATATTATATCCTCACGCGAGTAACTTTTAAGCCATTTTGCAAGGGAATCGTTCATTCGGGGTGGTGCAGGTAAGTATATATTATATTATTATTATCATCATCGAGGAATTTTATATTTTTTAGAATAGCAAAAATATAAAATCTGAACAAAAATGTTAAAAATTAAAAATGTGAAATACGTAAAAACCATCTACGGAATCTCAATAACTTAAGTTTAGTTTAAATTATGAGGTCTTTGCACCTTTTTCGTATGTAGATAATAGAGTGGGTGGATTTTCAAAGAGGTTATCAGAATCCAGATTTGTAATAAGTAGATTAGGATAATATTATGTCCATTGAGATTTAATAGGTATTGTATAATGATGAGTATGACTTTATCTATCAAAATKATACAGAGGTTCGTTTCTTTGTGGAGCGTGTCGAACTTTCGTTGACAACATAAAATAACGGGTGATTCGCGGTGAGAATAGTAGCAAACATTTTTTTTTACCGAAAAGCGCTTATATACTGTTGTTTGTATAATCAATGCTTATATAAATGCTGCCCGCACACAAAACATTGATCWGACATGATGCGATGCGATGTGATTTATCGACAAAGCGCGGTATGTAGACTTACTGCAGTTTTCTTCGTCACTACCGTCGGCGCAGTCGGGTGTACCGGAACAATGGAGGAATCCAGGAATGCAAGTGTTGTCCCGACAACGGAATTGGTCGGACCGACACGTGGTGTTGTGGCACCGGTGCGGCGCTTCGTCGGATCCATCGGCACAGTCCACGCTGCCGTCGCATACCCACGACTGAATGACGCAGTGGCTGTGGTCGTCGCATTCAAACTCGGAAGAACGACATTGTGACGATCTGGTAGATTCAGCACAACCCTATATGGATTATATGTATTATGTTATGTATGACCGATTGGGACAAGACGTATATCGTAAGYATCAGTATATCATCATACCTACACCTAACCCAACTGTAATAGTTCAAGTATTAAACAACTTAATTTTTTTTTTAACGAGAGAATTGTACAATCTGTAATTCAAAGACGAAATAATAAGGTAATAAAACAACGATTATTTACAACAATTCAGACAGGGGGCATGAGAGAAGAGACCATCCATTGATGGGACTTCATGACATGTGTTGGTGGAGGTTAATCTAAAAGTAGATCACGACACCACGTTCGTTTTAGTTGCCTTCTGGGGTCACCTGGAATAGTGGGGATAAATAGTTCTGAAATCAAGGGATTGCGGTGATTGTGAAGATTGGTGTGCAATGTGCATGCGTTTGTAGAAGAATTTGGCAACGTGTTTAACAGTTTGGATGGAAAGATCTTTATGGAGAGTATCATTAGAGACATAAAATGGGGCATTAGTTATTTTTCGAAAGCATTTTGATTGAAAAGTTTGGATTTTATTAATATTGGAGGGCAGTGGCATGGCGAACTTTATTAAGTTATGAGGCACAGTTATATTGTTTGACCCACCACCCACCCYACCAATCACAAAAAACATTAAAAAATGTTTTTAAGATAAAATATATTTATTCAYTTAAATAATAATGCTTTTTTTAACACATCAGATGATCTTTGAGGACACCCACCACCCCTCAAACTGAGGCACGTGCCTCAAATATAATCCTTCGTCACGCCACTGTTGGAGGGTTTGGCAGCACCCCATAATTGGATGCCATATGTCSATATTGGTTTGAGAAGTAGTTTGTATAAGAGAAGTTTATTTTTAAGGTTTAACTTAAATTAATCTTAAAAAGTGATATCAAGCAAATAATATTTTATGAAAATATTTAAGAGGAATTTTAAACTCCAAAGCCCTCTGTATATGTGAGGATGAGTTGAATAGGCAAAGTATGCATTGTTCATTTTTTCAGAATTGACAGATTTCCACACTACAGCTTACATTTTAATTAATTTTTTTGGGTCCAAGATCGTTATTTACATACGAATTTATAAGAATATTGAATTACATTTTTCCCCAAAGTTTGTTTATGCTTTAACTTATTGACATTTCAAAATAAAAATTTGAAAATCATTATTATTTATAACATTTATACATAGTAAGCCTATAATCAATGGAAATAGCCGAATAGGTATCTAATTTAYTATATCAATTATGGGATACTGAGAGACGCACCCACAACACTGGTGTAGCGAAATAGCCTATACAGAACACCGTGTTATCATGAAATTACGAATTTTTGAAATGTATACTCGCACATCCGTACATGCGTTTCGTATATTATTTTATAACATAATATTGTATTATATTTTCTAAGACTTTAAGTAAATCAAAACTTACGTAATTGTGATTGGTGTGAATTATTACGTAATGAACTGCGAAGGGACGTACAAATATCTTGCGATCATAAGATAATACTTAAGACATGATTTTAGTAAATAAATCCTATGTGAGCAACCTAGCTACCACTCCATATTTTCTCGTTTACGAAATTCGAAAATACGACTTTATTAATAGAAACTGTCTTCGAGAAATAATTATTGCATGTTCTTTGAAGTTTGAACTTTCACATTTTCGTTTAATTTTGTAGACATCAAAAGAATTGCTACACCTACTTCATATACGCACACAATAATTTTAAATATGAACTTGACGTTGAATACTTTGAACTTGTGGTCGGAAATTATTGTAAACAAATTCTACAAATCATGAATTTATAATACGTAGAATTTCATAATTTCAATATTTAATTAACACCAAAATAACCATAACAATTGCRTTCACTCTCGCTAACATAATAATATATATAATACCGGGTCGTAATATTCTCAAAAAAATCATTTTTCTGTTTTAAAATAACAATGAATACAAATTATTCATTTGGTTTTATCGCGATGGTTGTTATCCCTCTACTGTCGTAATGAATATTAAAATAAATTCTTGTGTCRCTTTATAATTTTTTATAGGCTTAACAAAATTATAGTACAAACATCATCTCAACAAATATATAGTTTTTATATTTAAGTTGCGGAATCATAGTTATATTTCTACTGTTTCCAAAAAGTCAAGTCTTCAAAAACAAGKACATAATAAAAATAAATTTGTTGTATCATATATGATTATCAACTATATTTATATAATGTGTTATGTATTTTATATATATTAAGTAATACTACAAATAATAAGTATATTATATGACTTATAGTGAAACACGTGGATACGGAATAACGTGTATAGTGTATACCTATCCACAAACCAATATTTTAGGATAACATATTTTAGATAATCATAGTATATAAATATAAGTATACTCATTACTTACGATTTCGTCAGTTTGGTCGGAGCAGTCGAAGTCACCGTCGCAACGCCAGTTTAACGTTATGCAAGTATTGTCTTTGACGCACGCGAATTCGGACTCGGAACATGTGATGTTGGGACAGTTGAGTTCATCCGTGTTATCTTGACAGTCGTCGTCTCTGTCACACACCCAAATCTTTTGAATGCACTTTCCGTTGCCACACGTAAACTCATCATCTCTACATGTTTCATCTGCAGTGGACGGGCAAACGTAAAATAATAATAATAATAATGAACGGGCYCTGATGATTATATATGATATACACGCTGGATATATATCATATATAATATATGTATATAAAATATTATACTCTAGTAATATATAAGTAGGGATGTAGCATATATTATTATTATAATGCAAATAATAGATAACAATATTATTATACCAATAGTTAATTGATATTAAGCGAATAAACAAATTATATCCAACCGGCACCGATAAGAAAAACTAATRTTGATGATGTTAGCATAATAATATTGATATTCGTATAATTTAATAGAAATATAAACATATTATATAATATATTAAAAAGACAGTGATTAGTGTTATATGGTATGTATAAGCGAATCGTCTTATAATAGTGTGGAGAATTAAAATAAAAATCAACAAATAGTCACTTACTGCACTCTTTCTCGTCAGAGCCGTCTGTACAGTCGGGATTGCCATCACACATCCATGTCAGCGGGATGCACTCACCTTTAGCCTTGCGRCATGTGAACTCATCCGTGTTGCACACTCGTTTTTCTGAAATCATAACAGAGCAAGACGTTCGTATACAGATGATTCATGCAAATAATAATGGATGCCGATGATGATTAGATAATATCAATGTTATAATATGATTTATTCGATTATGCATGTGTGTGTGTGTAATATGTGGTAAATATACCTAAATGTTGAAAACGATTAACCATCGAATAAATTAATCTATATAAATATCTCTAGTAACTATAGTCTATACCTATGTACCAATAATATATGTGTCTTTAAAACAGTGTAAAAGGTCTGTATAATAAGTACTAACATTTTACAGATGATTTACGAAAAAACTTTTTTTATTAAAGAAATTAGTAAGAACATAAATTATATTCTATCACCGTAAGGCTTTATTTTTAAATTAAACCAAATTACGAATAATTTTGGGGTGAATATAAACTCTACATAATTTATCACCCGATTAGCGTTTAAAAAATCACCTTGTAATTTTWATCTATATTCTAAAAATGAAGAACAAAGATTAAAAATTTAAAAATGTCATCGTTTATGCCATTATTCTTGCTTAGTACTTATCATGCTTAAAGTATAATAATTACATTTTGAACTATTAAATAAAAAATTTGAAGGCGTAATAAAATAATGTGCTCGTCTTAAACTTAAACCTTCTTTATTTTCAGGTCTGAACGGGAAACATAAAATTAAATTCAAAAAAGAAAAATTGACAAGAAACAGTGTAATAAGGTTTTCAGAGAAATAGAGAAATATATTTGTTATACATTATAATT